ACACACACACACACACACACACACACACACACATTCCACAGTACCCGTGTGTTAATGTGCAGGTACACATGCTTCAAATATCAATAATGCGCATCAATTCTGTCACTACCCTGCTTTTGCGCACCACTTTCTTATATGCGTTTATTTTGTAAACACACAGAGTACACACCACTGTGCACAGCCCAGGCACACGCAAAATCAGCCGATCTCATCTGATGCACATCTGCTCCTTGATCAAGTGACATTTGTCCTGATTTTTGGCACGAGTGGCGTACGATCAGCACCGCAGCTGGATGGCTCGATTTACATACCCGGCGCAGCTGATACTCACCAGAATAATTTACTAAAATTAGTTATTAAGTCTGTTTTTAAGTCCAGTTCAGTCTGTTAATGTTGATAACGGTTTCAAACGAACGTTAATAGGTGTGTTGCTAAGCCTAATAACTTAAATAACAAGCTTGAAATGTACCTGTCCCATTTTCCCCTTTGTTTTTTTCTCTTTACTGTAAATCTTCCATCTAAGAAGAAATCTGAGTCTGCTTGTCTGAGAATGAGCTACCAAAGCTTTTTCTGAATAAATCAATAAAGATCCATTTATGGAAAGCTGTGATGAAGGCAGTTTTGTCTTTAATTATATTCAACAATATAACATATTTGACCACTTTTAAGTGATTTTTCTAACTTTAATACACTAAAGTTTAGGTTATATACCTAATTTCTAGTAAGTGGTCCAGCCCCTCCTATATTTTTATGTATGTGGCCCTCAGTGAAAAAAGTTTGGACACCCCTGGTTTACAGCATCCTGCCATGAAGTTACATTTGTCCCTACTCATTGGGGACCCTCATGTTAACTTTTATCTAGTGGAAAAAAGCACTCTGTAGCGGCCGCGACCGCTGGTGATAAGGAAAGGCTGCTCTTTATAGAGGACTCACGATGTTTTCTGGTTGACTCCAGCTCCGAGAAGAGCCTTGGGAACTCTTGTGTTGTCTTTGCATACCTCCACAATGGTTTATTATTTAATCTTAAATTTTTTGGGGGGAGATTTCCCGTGTACCACTACAAGGAGCCTAAGTATCACCAGCAGTACTCGTACCACAGTTTGAGAACCACAGTTATAAAGCATTAATTTCTAACATGATGCTAGTCTTCTGTAAACTAATTATAAAATAATATATCTGCTCTGTATGTCTGCTGTTATTTTTCTAATTAATATGATAGAATGATAAGACTTCATATGAAATGTAATTCTACCCACATCCTCCATATAATAAATACAGAAGAATAATATAATTTATTTTTATACATGTTACATATTTCATAATTCATTTCTTAACAAAGCCATTCACATTGTAAATGTTTTCACAATTACAGCAGTTCTTTAGTAGTTTTTTAACTAATTGTAGACAAGCAGTTTGATTCTTAATAGTAATAATAGTTACTTTAAAAATACACCTTAAAGCTCATACGTGAGACGAGTGTCCAGAAAATCACCCAGGTAATCGCAAATAACAGAATATCATGCAAGAAGTCTTACAATGAAGCAAAATTACTGAATGTATTGTATCGTAGGATGGTAATTCCTGACCTTTTCTACAGTGGTCACTCAACATACAGTGTCTGCTCCTTATGCCTTGTCATCAGGTACCAGCGTGAGATTTAATCAGTTTGTACACAATTGTGCTGTCCTTCTCTCACAGTATGATTTGAAAAGTTTTAGGGTCCTGAAAAAGAAATTTTTGTGTGTCTATTGCAAAAATGAAATTTACTTTCACGTTGTAAGGTTCACTTTGTGCCCCTTTTTCAGGACCGTGAACAACAGATGGGAACCTCTGCTAGAGGTGATAGTGAATGAATGAGTGAGGAAGTGATGTTAGGTTGTTTTTTGTTTATTCAGTCTGTTCTAATATGAATCTAGCAGGTTCATTTCTAAAACAGGAGGATGCATACACATCTACAAATATGTGTTTGTTGTAGGTGCACCTTCATCAGTTCCTGGACCTGGGCCATCTTCTTCTTGATTGAGGGTCCATTTATAATGACTGTTGAAAAATCCAGCCTAGCAGTGAAAAAAAATGAAATAACAGTACAATAACTGTAATAACTTTTTGAAGTTGTGAAATCCACCAAAAAACAGTAAGAAGAGTGTTTCACCTTATACAGCCCAGCCGTGAGTACAACCAAAAAAGCCAACCCTCCCAGGGATCCTATGACAATTGGTTTGATGAAATCTGGCTTAGGATACACCTCCACCACTGTCTCAATCTGATAGATGAAGGGATAGAAAGTCAAAATAATCCACGCTTGTGCATTTCAAACAGGAGAAAATGTGCAATCACCTTGTAAACAGGAGGATTGTAGTTGGACCCTGTTGAAAAGTAGAAGTACTGGTTATCGTCATACTCCAGACTGGCTGTACTGGTCAAGAAGAACTTGGTATACTCAAGTCCAGTCTAAGAGAAAAAAAAAGAAAAAACCAATGAGATAAGCTTAATTTATGTAGTTTGTGTTCTTTAATTGAATATGACATTTCTAAAGAATATGGTTCAAATAAAGTGACAGTTTTAATCCAAACATAACAAAAATTATCCATTAACTACCTGCTCTATCCATCCTGAACTGAGGTTGGCAGAGATTTCATACGTCCTACTCTGCAGTTTTTCTATGAAAGTGTTGCATTTGAACACTCTGCACCTGGCTACAGAGCAATCCTGTGGGTGATTTAAGAGAGACTGAATAAAACAAAAGCTGTGAACCAGTGTGAGGTGAATTTATGAATTTTTGTCATCTAGCAAGGTGCAGAGGCATACTTACCACTACTTTATTCTTTAGTATATCTGGAACAAAATCTCTAACATCTGATTCTTCATCATTTCCTCTCTGACAGTCTGGAATCTGAAATTTACATTTTTTGTTTGAACGGTCCTAACTTTACCACATGTGCCCATCCCACAGCTAAGATTGAAACATTTTTTGGAGTCAGCAGCTAAAACATCTGAAATGTATATTACCTGTAGGCTGCTCAAATCCACCCAAATGTCTTTTTCACCAAGCTTCACTGGAACCCTGATCACTAAAGTGAAATTAAGCGCTCTGATATCATTTTTAACCTAAACAAGAAAAGAAGAGGACAACCAATCATTGCAGTTAGGTCTAAATCATACAATGAACTTTAAAAAATACTGATATATACAGATTTGTACCTTGATTGATTGTTGGATGGGTTTTTGCAAATGAATTATCCCCAAAGTGAAACTTCTGTAGCTGAGAGGAGTTAAACAAAAATATTTCAATCATTAAATAACTATTATTATAAATAATATCAATAAATCATCATTTGTTAATTTCTTAATGGTTTGCTTTTGTTAAAACAGAAAAACACATACCTTTCAAACGTCATTGAAATGCTGTATTTTACATCAATCCATTTCTTTTTGTAGAGTTCACTTGTAGGGGCATGCTCCTGATTTCCACTGAAAAGGAAAAGTGAAATGATTTGTACCGTATATGTGAGGTTTTTGCTTAAATGAAGTGCACCTGGACTAAATGAACAGTACCTGGTGGCATTTGCAGTGACAAAGAGCTTCGTCTCAAGTTGACTGTCTGCTTCAATCCCATAGGAGACAATGAAGGAAACCTAAATTCAAATGAAGAAGACAGATTGGAATGACTCCTGTTTTTACTAAACTGTGCAGAAGGGAGAATGGATCATTTGGTCAAACAAAAAAACAAAAAAACCCAAACCTCATTTCTGTTCTTGAAAATTGGCTTGTCAATAGTGCAGTCTGTCCTTCCTCGTGTTAAGCCATCTTCACTGTCCACAGAGTTGCACTCAATTCTTCCCTTTATTAGAAAACAAAATGACTGCTGGATGCATTGGAAGAGCTGCAGATCAGTGATGAACTGATACAAACTCGATCCTGATGCCTTACCTGCTGAATGGTGAACTTCCTGTAGGAGAGTCCAGCTGGGTACGTGAGAATAACACGACTGTTGTAGGAGTTTTCTCCTCTGTTCTCCACTGTGACTGTGACATCTAAAAGCTCATCAATGCCCACTTTAACCTCTGAGGATCTGTGGAGTATTAAGGAGGATGAGAACAAGGCAAAACAAGACAAGACTACAGGCATACCAATGTCAGAGTATATCAAATATGATGTACTTTGAGCTTTGATAAACCATGTTATTGTTTTAGTTCAAACAGTAAGGTAAATATGGCTTTGCTAAGATATTGGCGCTAAATGTGAGAAAAAAAACATTCATCCTTTTTATTGAGTTAACATTCTAATATTTGCTTGTTAGCACAAACAAAACAACTGAGTGTCATCACTTTCAAAAATATTAATGATGGTCATGTAAAGACAAGTTAAGTGACATTAAATTCAGCTTGCAAATAACAACACATTTGAAGAAAACAAGATTCACACGCAAAGCTTAAGTTTTGTAACAGTGCCTCACCTGGTGAAGTTGAAATCCACTTTCAGGTTATCAACGCATTTGTGTTCAGTTCCACAGTTGATCTCAAACCCTAACTGTGGAAGAGAGCATGATGGAAAAGTACATATTATACATTATTTAAAGACTAAATAAGTGGTTTTATGGTGATCCAATGTGCTACTACATGTAGGTCTACAGGCAATAAAATCAACAAAATAAAACTTTACGAAGATAGAAAATATAAGTTAATATATACACACAAAAAACACAGTAAATAACTGCAACCCTGCACAAATTAAAAGGACTTTGAGTCTGTTTTGAATGTAAACACAGAGCCACAGTAACAGAAACCCCCCTTAGCACACTTCTAATCTAATTGCGGGAACAGTTCAAAAAGCTGCACCTGATCTGATGTGAGGTTGTTTGAGAGACTGGGGAAGCAGTTATACTGGAGGATAAAAACAACAAGTGTTTTAAGAACCAAAAGAAGGATTTTAAATTGACCAATTGAGCCAATGAAGGGCGGGAATCAAGAAAGGTTCCCAAAATTTGAATCCCCTCCAACTGTTAGACTGCTTGCCTCAGTTTCACTCATCTGTTCCACTTGTACTCACACAACAATCAGCTGGTTTCAGTTGTTTGACACAGGAGGAAAATAAAGGTGCGGTCTAGGGATGCACCGATACCACTTTTTTGAAAACGAGTATGAGTACGAGTACTTGCATTTCAGTACTCGCCGATACCGAGTACTTAATAAAAACATGATTTAAATTTACAGGTAACAGCTTTAGTCCTGTAATTTAACAAAAAACAAACAAACAAGGGACTAGTTTGGAATTAAGAACATTTATTTAAAATGAAAAGCATTTTGTATCCAAATTATTTACAGAATAAATAATTATAAAAAAACAAAATTTAATTTTAAATTTGTTCGTCTGTTTAGAAGTCACACTAGCACAGTCACAGCTGGGATGACATCAGAGGCTAGTGCGTCGTAGCTGCTCACTTTTTTAGTTAGTTCCTCAAAGGGGCGAGGATGGCAACAGTCGTCTCCATAAGAGCCCATTGGTGAGCGGTGAGATAGTCAGGGAGTTCATGCTCGGACACATACACGCCCAGCACTCGCTTTTGCTCAATGAGGGACTGGAGCATGTAATACATGCTGTTCCAGCGCGTCTGTACGTCCTGCTGCAGTCTCTTTAATGGCTGGTTGAGCTGTCCCTGAATGTCCTCGAGGCGGGAGTAGGCTAAGGCGGAATGTTTAAAATGCCCAACTATTTTCCGCCCCACTGCTATAGCATCAGCTATGCTCCTCTGTGCTAATAAGCCCTCGTGAACAGCCAGTTGGAGCAAGTGCGCGACATATGGCAGACTTGGGAGCCCTGCGTCATTCATGGCTTTAATCATGTTTTTGGCATTGTCACAAAGCACAACATGTACTGATGGTATACCCCATGTCTGGAGGATTTCCTCAAACACATGCGCTATAGCCTGGCTGGTGTGCAAGCCGCGGAATTGTTTGGCATGTAATGGCTCGTTGCGGCGTGAAACTCATCTATCCACTGGGAGGTTAGGCTAATCAGCGACACGGGGCTAAAACTGCTTATCCAAATATCCGTGGTGAAACTAAATGCAGAGGAGGCTTGCAGTAGGCTGTGGATATGTTTTTTCATGGACTCGTGTAGTTTAGGCAGCTCCGTGTCAGTCATGTAGTGGCAGCTTGGGACATCATATCTGGGCTCCAGAACATGGAGGAGATGCAGGAATCCAACATTTTCTACCTCCAAGAGTTGCTGGTCACTCAATGCAATGTACTTGATAATTGCCTGTGTTATTTTCACAGCACGTAGATTGTCTCTGGACATTTTCTCTCGTCTTGCAAGAGTTTGCTGCAGCGTGGGTTGTGTTGGTTTAGAAGCGTGGGTAAACTCCTTGTACTCATTGTCGTGTTGGGATTTTAGGTGCTTGA